CATGGCTCTGTAGTTGTCATACACAATTTTAGAAACACATTACAAGTTGGACTACTTTCTCTTCTTTATGTTTAATGTTAGTGATCTATGTTTTTAACTTTTGCCTTTAATGTGTATTTAAAAAAAAAAACACAGCCGTATTAGATAAAGCTTAAGCTTAAAAATTTTTCCTACCTTTCTGTTAAAGAAAACCAATGTGAAAATGAAAGTTAAGCTCCAACTCCAAAAGAATATTAATTTTCTTCTCAACAAAATATAGCAGAAAGAAAATCTCACTGGAATACTTTCTATACACCTCAGTCATTTTGTTGAAGAATGTGCCATAAATGAATAGACATGAGCAGTGAAGGATTCTGTTCATTTACTAACTCCATAGATATGATAATCTGTAATCTCTTTGCTTCCTTAGTATCTCAGGCAGTTCTATGATGATTCTCTTTTTATGTCAGCTATTTTGAAATGAAGATGCAACACTATACAATGTGTTCTTTTTGTATTAAAAGCCAACTGTTATGTCCTTTATGTCAAAATAAAATTTATTTTTATTTAAGCAGACTGAAAGTATGATTCCATTTTTATATCTTCACCATTTCTCCACCTTTGCCCTCCCACTGGTTACAACCCCCACTCCAGGCAAGACCTGTTCTACCCTGTAACTTTGTAAAAGAAAAAAATAACATTTTTGTTTGTCCTTTACTTAAGACATTGTGTCAGACATTTATCCAAGTCTGTGAGTTCACAGTTCATTTCTTTTCATTGCTAGGTAGAATTCCACTGTATGGATGTATTAGAGATTGCTAATCCATTTCATAGTTAAGGGATATTGAAGCTGTTTCTAATTTTTGATAAATAGTAATAAAGTTACTGTGAAGACTCATATTTAAGTTTAAGAGATGAACATAATTTTCATCTCTTTCTGATAAACACCTATGAATGAGACGGATAAGTCAGGTGATATGTTTAACTTTACCAGAAACTGCTGATCTCTTTTCCAAAGTGGCTGTATCATTTTGACTCTTATCAACAATGAACAAGAGTGTTGCTTGCTATCTGTCCTTTTTAAAGAGTTATTCAAAAAATTGTGGGGCAATTATTTTCTTTGGTTTTAATTTGTGTTTCACAAATTAAACTAAAGAGGTTAAGTGTCTTTGCATGTTCCTGTTTACCATTCATATATTTTCTTCAGTGAAGTGTATGTTCAAATCCTTTACTTATAATTGTGAATAAAAATTATATATTCCTCTGGTATATGTGATGTTTTGAAATGTGGTATTACTAAATCAGTCTGATTAACATATACATCACCGCACGTACTGATGTTTTTCTGGAGTGAACACATAAAATCTACTGCCTTAGTGATTTGCAGGTATTCAGTATTTTTGCTGTTTTATCCTCTGAGCAACATCTGGCGGATTCTTCTACCTCTGACCTCTGGTAATGGCCATTCCACCTTCTGTTTCTGTGAGTTCATCTTTTCTAGATTCTACATATGAGTGAAATCAAGCGGCATTTATCTTTTGGTGCCTGGCTTCTTTCTTCTAACATAATATCCTCCAGGTTCATCCATGTTGTTGAAAATGACAGGATTTTATTGTTTTGAAAGGCTCAGTAATATTCTTTTGTGTATGGTATATACATTTTAAGTATTCTGTTAATGAACACTTAAGTTGAGTCATATCTTGACTGTCATGAGTAATCCTGCAATAAATATGAGAGAACAGATAGTTCTTTGACATGCTGATTTCATTTCCTTTGTAGATACACCCAATATTGGGATTGTTGGGACATAGGAAAGTGTTGCTTTTAGTTTTCTGAGAACTCTCCATACTGCTTTCCATAATGGCTATATAATTTATATTCTCAGCAACAGTGTAAAAGGATTCCCTTGTCTCCACATCCTCAACAATGATCAGTGTCTTTCACCTTTTTGATGATAGCCATTGTAACAGGCAGAAAGTGGTATCTCATTGTGGTTTTTATGTTGTTTTGGTTTGCCCTTTTTTAAATGGTAGTGGTGGCACTGGGGTTTGAACTCAAGGCCTCCCTCTTGCTATGTGGGTGCTCTACCAGTGAGCCATACTCCTGGTCCTTTTTGCTTTAATTATTTTTTGAATTGGGTCTCACATTTTTTCCTGGCTGGCCTGGACTGCCATCCTCCTGTTTATACTTCTCACATAGCTGGGATAACAGACACACCCCAGCATGCCCAGCTTATTGGTTGAGATGGGATGGATCTTGCTAACTCTAGCCATGATGAATCTGGTCTCTGCCTCTTGAGTAGTTGGGGTCACAGGGGCAAGCCACTGCATCCAGCCCTCATTGTGGTTTTGTTTTGCATTTCCCTGATAATTAGGGATACCGAGTACCTTTCATAACTATTGGTCATTTGTATGTGGTTTTTTGAGAAATGTCTATTCTTTTGTCCATGTTTGAATCAGGATATTTGTTTTCCTGTTATTGAGTTGTTTGAGCTCCTTATATGTTTTTTGGATATTAACCTCTTATTAGATTTGTTTTGCAAATACTTTCTCCCATTCTATTTTTTTCTTTTTGTTTTTGCACATGGGTGTCTACTCGTTTCAGCACTGTTTGTGGGAAAGACTGGCCTTTCTTCATTGAATTGCCTTTTTACCTTAGCCCAAAACAATTGTCATATACACGTAAAACTATTTCTGGATCCTTTTCTCCCCTCTTGACTCATGTCTCTTCTTTCTCCAATATCACTCTCTTGATTACTGTAGCTTTATAATAGGTCTATAAGTCATATACTGTATGTGAATTCTATAACCTTGAAAATAATGTGTATTCTGCTGTTCTGTGTAGTGTTTTCTCTAAATACCAATTAGCTTAGTTTAGTTGATGCTGTCTGTGACTTCTATATGCTTGCTGAGAGTTTTTCTATCAGTTGTTGAGAGAGTAGATTGAAGTCTCCAAGTGTATTTTTGGGTTTTTGTATTTTTCCTTTCAGTTCTATCAGTGTTTGCTTCAGGTATTTTGAAGCCTTGTTGTTGGGTACATACACATTTACATTTATTATGTTACTTCAGGGAATTGACTCCTTCAACATTAAGTGATGCTCCTTGTTACCAATTTCCTGCCGTCTGCTTTGTCTGATATTAATATAGCTGCTTTTGCTTTCTTTTGATTAAGGTTTACATAATATCTCTTATTGATCATGTTATTTTTTTGGCCTATAATGCCTTTATTCTTAAAATGAGCTTTTTTTGTATATGCCGAATAGCGTGATTTTGGTTTGATGATCTAAGGTGATGATCTTTCATTTTAATTGGTGGTTTACAAGGTTTAAATTTAATGCAATTATTAACAACCTACCACATTATTAGCTTGATTTGATAAAGTTCTTATTTTTGTTTTTCTCCTTTGCATTTCATTTTTGATTATTGCATTTTAGCTTTAATTTTGATTACTGATTTCTTCTTTTGAAGACTTAACTTTAGTCATCACCCGAGGTTATACACTATACATCTTTAATTAATCAAGGTCTACCTTTAAGTAATATTGTACACCGGACATGTAGTATAAAGACTGAACAGTTATACTTTATTAATTTCTCTCTTTCATCCTTTATGTTAGAGCTTAAAGACATTTTACCTTCACATATGCTGTGAACTCAATGCATTAATATTTTTGCTTTAGCTAGTTCTTTTCAAGTGGTTAAAAATAGGAAAAAATAAATTTTATATTTACCTTCATTTATTCCTCTACTAGAACCCCTTATCTCTTTGTGTATATGTCATCTCTTAAGAAAGATCTTAAAATGTAACAACATATATTTTTTTTGGCAATACTGTGATTTTGAACTCAGGGCCTTGTGCTTTCTACCACTTGAGCCATATCATCAATCCTTTTTTTTTTTCTTTTTTGGCTCAGTGCAGCCCCAGACTGCAATCCTCCTACCTATGTCCTGTGTAGAGGGGGTTACAGGCACATAACACCACACCTGTCTCATTTGTTGAGATGGGGTCTTGCTAACTTTTAGTTTGGGCTGGATGTGAAGCCCCCTAATCGCTGCTTCCTCAGTCACTGGGATCACAGCCATAAGCCACCATCCTCACGCAACATTTTTCTTACCTATTAACAAATATAACATGCCAAGCCTGCTATATTTCTCATGGCTCTGTTAAAAATGTATTCTGCTTAGATAGACAGGAATAGGTTTGGTTCTTTGTGCTCACTTAGAATTGCAGAGCCATAGAACTGGATATATCACAGGAGACACAAGAGATCCTCTGGCCTGGTCATCAGAGTCTGAAAGGTTTACTTCAAACTGATCTTATTTTAAAATATTTCCAGAAGTTCTGTTTTTGAAGTTGAAACCTAAACCTCTTGGGTCTTTAGTTCTCTTTTTGTCCCTGTCTCTTTCTCTTACTCTCTTGCTTCTAGTGTGAGGTGGGAGCATTTGAACCACATTGCTCTGCTTTTTAATGCATTCATTTTTTTAGTTTCTGCACACATATGAAAATAGCTGTTGAGCCTCTCCCCACCATTCTTCTCTGTAGATAACAGGGGAGGGGGAGGCAGAGAGTCCCCAGCTCCCTGGCCAAGTACAGGAAGTGCAGGTGGTTCAGACCCTAGAAAGAATGAAGCGCCCTCTCCCTGAAGCCACACAGCTAATTTTGCTCCACACTTGTATCCATGTACCTTTAGGATGTTCTGGGATTCTGAAATCAGATGGGTATTCTCCAAAAACTGTTTCCCTGATGTGACTTCCTTGAGAGAATACTAAATGCCACAGTCCTGGCTTTATTACTTGCATAGAGATTGTGGCAGGAGAGGGTGAGCTAGAAAACTGAGAATTTTCTGAGCAAACTATATTGAGTTGTGAGAAAAAAGTACTTGATGTCTAGTGCCAGTAGACAGTAGAACGTATAAACACTTGTCCGTTATGAGGATAACTGCAAGGGACACTTATTTTCAGGTTTCCCCTTTAATGCATGTCCAAAGCATAACGTTTTCTTTTTGTCTTTTTCCCCCTCAAGGGGTGCCACATCCATTGTGTACAGATGCAAACAGAAGGGGACCCAGAAGCCCTATGCTCTCAAAGTGTTAAAGAAAACAGTAAGTTTATTTCATTATATAATTGCATCTCCAAGGGACCTGTGGCCTGAGCAGTCAGGAACCTGCCTCAAAGGACAAAAGGGCCAGCGAACTGCAATCTGCAGCTGACCCTTTGGACTCTTGATGGCACTCAATCCTAAGCTGTTCTCTGATGGAAACTATGTGACTCTTTGAAAGCCACTAAATCTTAGATTGCATATGGTTTGTGGGAAGAAATGTGAAAAGGAAAAACATTAGAGCTAGCAGGAGTACTTTGTTTTGTATGAAAGCCAGAGGAACTCACTATTTAAAAGAAAAGCTGATATGAAACACAAACTGTATTTGTGAAAGGAGTCATCAACTTATAATTTGCCTAAGTTTTCAAAGGTTAGCGTTGCTTCAGTAAGGTGCTAATCTTTCTGGGACTGAACCTGCTCATCTAGAAGTTTGTATGTAGATAAGAAGGAAAGATTTTGTTTTGGGGTTGTTTTTTCTGCCCTAACCTCATAGGTGACCTGGAAGAGGAAAATGTGTCTTAGGCTCTTCTCTAATGAGTAAGAAATCCAAAATACAAGTGGCAGCACCTGTGTAATGTTCTGTGCTCCTTCTGGCCTTATGTTCTTGCACCTTCTGGCCTTAGGCAATTTCCATTCATAAAAGCACAAAAAGACATAATACTCTTTTATAGCCCATTGTTTCTTTGTCAAATTTTATGTGAACAAATACGTGAAATCTATATATTTCTGAAAGCCCAGTTGTAAAGTAAACTGAAGAGAGAAGTATCCTATATTTTGAAGTGAAATGATACCTCTTTTGAGATAAGGGAGTTTCCCCTGCTAAAGGGAGCTTCATATCACCAGCTGTTTAGGTATTGTCTGGCACAGGAAAAGTGTAGAACTTCATATAATGAGGAGCTTAATGGCACGGGATTTTCAGTCAAGTAGAAATAGAATGACATTTTGAAACAATCTGTTGGAATTTAAAGCCTTAGCAAAATAACAAGGACAGTTAAATCAAAGTAGGTAATAATTTAAATGTCAATTGCTACTAATAAACTCTATATTCTGAATTTCCTGATTGGTGTAGTCAGTTGTTTAAGTTACTTCAAAATGTGCAGGATTGTTTTGATTAATAAGGTTTGGATTTTTCATTATATCGATTTCATATAGTTAAAAACTTTTATCTGAACTAAGGATTATTAAAATTTTCATGAAATAAAATTTCCTATTAAGTACCTACTTTTTAAGAAAATAAATTGATTGGTATGCTTTCGCAGTGCTCTTAAGCAAATATCTTTGGACTTGGCTGCATCTGTTCTTGTCAGTTAAAAATTTTGTCAGTTATTTTTCTTTCTTTCTTTCTTTTTTTATTACTCATATGTGCATACAATGTTTGGGTCATTTCTCCCCCCCCGCCCCCACCCCCTCCCTTACCACCCACCCCACCCCCACCTTCTCCCCCCCACCCTGTCAGTTAATTTTCTGAGTAGTTTTTTTTTTTTTTTCATAGCTGGGGAAACTTTAAAAAAGAAAGGCTAGGAAATAAACATTCAGAAATTACTTGTGAATGTTCAAGAACCCCAAAGGCACAGGGCTAGTTTAGAGAAAAACCTTTGGAATAAGAGAGAGGTGAAGACATTTAGTGGTTCTTAACTCACATTCATTGGAAAAGTACAGCTCTGGTTCATCCTCATTGCCTTTTCTTCTCCACCTCTGTTGTAAAAACATCTTCCTCTGAAGACAGGCAGGAAGAGAATATGGATGGGAACCAAGTGTCAGATGGAGCTGTAAGGCAGATGTTGTCAAACACAGTTACTGATGTGCCAAATGGAATGAGAGAAAATCCCAGAGGATCCTTGGCTTTGAATGTGACTTACATGGAGTTCCCAGTATTGTCTTGTAGGATAAACCATGCACAGAGTTGTGTAAATGAGAGAAATAGCAGGCAAAACCTCAAAGAGCAAATGACCTCAAGTGTTTAATTCCATATATCTTACAGAGACTGAACCGTCCTTATCTAAATGAAATGAATGGATGCTACGAGTCTATTTATAGAAGGAAAGTGATGCAGCTGAAATATTTTCTTAGAGAATTCTGCAAAAGTTTTATGCCTGTGGATGAGGGGGGTTTCAGAAAGCTTGAATTATTTATGTAATCTATCTTATTAAGTAGAACCACATAAAGTTGCCTTGATATTAAACTATTTTTGACCTACAAAAATGTAATTTTATGTGATTCAATTAACAACTATGGGGCTACTTTTCCAGACACTTCCTCAGATCCTCATTTTATGGCTATGCCTAAACCTAAGAGTCCTAAATTTAAATTCAGTCTGCCTACCTCTATCATTTATCTTTCTGTCATCTATCTGTCTATCTATCTATCTATCATCTCTCTATCTATTATATCTAGTTAGCTTCATAGGGGTAGTAAAACAAATTATCACAAACTAGTGGCTTAAAACAATATAAATTTATTCTCTCAAAGTTTTGGAACCTAGATGTCAGGGATAGCGCCTCCTGAGGGCCCTTATGTCCTGACAGGAGTCAGCAATCTATGGTGTTCCTTGACACTTAGATCATCAGTCTACTCTCTGCCTCCACTGTCACTTGGCCATCTTCTCCCTATGTATTTTCTCATCTTTCCTCTGTGTCCAAATCAGTCTTCTTACAAGGACACCAGTGCTACTTCATCTTAACTAATTACATCCTACGTCCAATAATACAATTTTCAAATAAGGTCACACTCTGAGGTACTGGAAGCTAGGGTGATATTTCTTTTTGGGTAGACACAATTGTACCCATTATACTATTTATCAGATGAGTCCTGAAAGGTGAATTTCAAAATATTCCATTCAATATTTTATCAAAAAATGAGTTAGACACACAATATTCAAGAATATAATATAATTAATAAGTACAAAGAAACTTCCTTAATTTACAAATAAAGTTTTTTTTATCTCTTTCACAATTAATTATTTGATAACATTAGTTATCTCTTAAGATCTGTTTTTATAGAAGTTTCCCCAAATTCCTTTTATGGAAATAATAAGTTCTTTTCTCTCAGCTTAATATTTTAGGACAGATTCAATTTAAACTAGCAATAAGAAACTTATTTCCTAATAAAACCTTTTATCATTATTGAGAATCCATTGTACCCTACATGTCGGGGTGATTGACAAATGCTCTGACTTATCTACAGGAATATAGACAAAAGCTCTGGCTCTTATGGAGAAAATGCAGGTGTCATTGGTGGTCAGGGACAGAATGGAGTTAATACTGATGAGCATGAAGTAAGTTGTCAGGTTTTGACAAGTGGGTATTTTGATTAATAAAATATCCTTGTGGGAAATTAACATGTAATTATCAAAAGAAAAATATTTTTAAGTTAACATATATTTTACATGTAGCTATAACACCATATACTTTATATATGGATAACTACATTACAAAGAATTAGAATACATTAAAATGCATATCAACCAGTGTCATACTGGGTACAATTTTCTTTTAAATGACTAAATAAAAGTGTGTGTGCTCATTTGCACATGTATAGTGAAGTAGGGGCACATATGTGCAAATACCAACAATTATTGCGTGTAGGGCAGTATAATAATGTCCATGATGATACTTCACCATTTTAGTACATATGAAAATTTTTCTAAAGAAAACTCTGGAGAAAAACATAATCCATCATTGATTTCCTTCCTGTTCAGCATAACTGAGCTTTTTTTTTTGGGCATTCAGAAAGCATTTCAAGGTCTTACAGTCTCTTGACATGATGATACACATCAGAGACTTTCCTACAGATATGTATTGAAGTGACAGAAGATAGAAAATGATTGTTGAACCAACATTTTACTCAGTTGGAAAAAAAATCCTGTGTCATTGTTGGAGATAAAGCTTTGATACAAGTAAGAGAAAGTGACAGGAAAGTGCATTGAAGTGCCTTCTTGTTTGTTTGTTGTTTCCCACTTAGTTTTAGAGATTCTCGTAGTGAAGAAGGTATCAAATCACTAGGTGTGACATTCACCCTCTCCTGCATGTAGAGGGAGACTGTCTTTTTGTTTCTAAATAGTTACAGGATTACGGGAAGAGCCATTTTGTTGCTCGTAAATATCTCCTTATTCTGCATAGAAGAATGAAGTGACTTACAATTATGAGTGGAATTTGTACTATGTACTTTGTAAATCATGAGTCAAGGGTGAAGGAAACAAAGCTAACTTTTCCTTCATGCATGAGTACTTCATGGTCTCCACGTCACATGATATTTAAATGACATTGAAGTAGCATAGAAAGATTTCCTACAGTACTTCATCAGATTAAAGATTTTGAGACATTATCTACTTTCTTAGGCTAAAGATTTTGGGGTACTAAAGGATTTGAAAGAAGTAACTAGTGAGGACCATTTATTTACAAGATGCAACATTTTTACTGATGTTACACAACTTTTGAAAATTCCAAAATTAAAATTGTACAGAAGAGAAGGTGAATTCAAGTATGACATATTTGATACATTGTAAGAACCTTTGTAAATGTTATAATGTACCCCAACCCAGCACAACAGTAAAAAATGTACAAAAGAAAAAGTATATATTCAAGAAAGTGTCAAAAGTAGAACATATTAAACAGATGGAACCTTCAGTGCAGAGTAGATTTTGCTGGGTTAAACAAAATCAAACTTTTAAGAATGACATGGTGATAATGGAGTCACTATTTCAGGAGTGCCTCACATAAATTATACTTGTGCTTTTTTCCTTAATAGGGCATAGCTCCAAGTATATCTAAATGGCCATTCTTCAGCCTATAAATGTGGCTTGTTTTCAAAAGGAAGTGATTGAAATTTTTAAAAGTTATATTTACCAATAATTTATAGTGTCCCTAGCATTTTGGAGATAGATATTTGAATTCCAGATTTCAGATGAAATTTCTAGCTGTGAGGCTCAACTGGAAAGGATGGTATTCTTCTAACTGTAAAATTCATGCCTTTCGTGAAATAGCCAATATGAAGTTTGAGAGTCAA